GTACCAAAAAATTGCTCACATTAATGGGAGGTCCTGTCGGACCTGTCCTGCTTTACGTCGTCCACGTTGCATGAGGAGAGACCAAGAAAGCCCGTTTCCTCGCTTTCACTTGGGCCACAGGGTCCAGTCTTTTTCCAAAATTCAATGGGCTTAAAAAGTTGAATAAAATAATATATATGTGGGTTTATAACCCATATGGTAGATATTAAAAATAAAGTTTATTAACTTCAATAAACGTTTTAAATGGTTAAAAATTTAAAATTTTACATTAAAAATTTTAAGTTTGAACATTAAGATGGGTGAGAAAAGATTAAAAGAAAAGAAATAATATTTCTTATTATATAATTTATCATTTAATGTATCAAAGATTAAAGTTAATTAATTTTAACCCTGTTAAACTTTTATTGTTAGATCAATTTTGCTTCTCTCATGTTGTGCAATGTTCATTATCATAGGGAAGTTTTGAAGTATACCCTTCTTCAAATGTGGAAAATTTCCTTTACACCCTTTTCTTGGCACACCTTATCTTCTATTTATCATGCAACATCCCCACCTCCAATTCTTAAATTCTGGTTCCATATGTTATTTGCTAATCTCATTCTTCTTATAGGTTTTGAGTTGCAATGATATGCATACAAGATGAGTAAGTGGATGAAAAAGGATAGTGCGTTCGCTTAGGCTAGCTTTTGAAAAAAAAAAAAAAAAACACAATTAATTGCTTTTACAACAACTCTACTCAAACAACTTCCCTTACAAAAATTATAAATCTACACTGAGCTAAACATGTTTTTTTAGGTAAAATGACTAATAAGATCTTTAATAATGCAATAATTAAATAAATCTAGTTTAATTTTTAAGAACGTCGAGTGAGCAATCAATAAAAGACTCACCAAGTAGTTGTATATAGTCCAAGAAAGTAAAAAACAAAAGCGACTGCTGTCCAAGGAAGAACATGATGGACTGACTGAGTCACGTTCATGCCAATTTGTTTGTTAGTTGCTGGATTCTTTCCATGCATGAATCCTCAATAGTCCAATGAAATTAAGAATATGAGTCCAGAACAGCCATCATAAACCTCAAACACAAGGGCATCTCCTCTTATCTCATGTGCATTTTTTGGGCGTGGCCTTCAGTCTTCATGAATTCATGTTTGTCACCATGCATCACTAGATTCCTACGTGAGCCATCCGTCTCTCCCTCCTCATCTCAATTTCCTCTCTGTAACCAAAGAATATTCGGAGGGTAGAGATGGCTTCATGTGAATGCACGACTCATAATAATGATCAATGCCCGGCCGTTGCATATATTCATGATTCCTGTTCTGGTTGGCTCCTTTTCCCATTTGAAAAAGAATTGGAACCGTCCAAGGAAAAAAGCCTAACTCTCCGGTATAGTAGCACAGGACCACCACCAGTTTAATTCTCTAAGTTTATAGATTAATTGAATTGAGTCCATTCTATATCATATGTAAAATATAATATAATCCATAAGAACAATCATGTTGGTGAAGTTTTTTAGTCGACTATTATGCAAATGAATCCAAGTGTTAATATATAATTATCCACAATCATAACAAATATTCATTCATCCCATATATATGTAATACAGAACCACTTTCCAATCAAAGTATTTTATTCGATGGAGAATCTTATGGATCCATCAGCCAGGACGCTAATTCTGCATATATGGAGTAGTTCACTGAACCAGATTAGAAGGATTTCTGGCCACTGAAACTGGGGTTTTAATACATTAATATTGGGTTGAGCATCCAAGTTTGTTTTCTTTCCAAACATGTCAGAAAAGAAAAGATCTTGCTTTTGAAACTATATATGTTTTATTGAAAATACAGAGGATCATGATGGGTTCAAATGGTCTCTGATGAAATATGTTACCATTGCAAGGGGTTTCCAATGCTTTTAAGGCTTTAATCAGAGCATCAGATTCCGTGGACATGTGCTTTGCTATGATTACCTGAATTTGAGCGACACAAAGTCTCCTCTCATCCCTTTTTCTCTGCTAATTTATTAGTATCCGATGAGTTCCATTTGGAATACTAAACTGTGGGGAAAAGCGTTGTGAGAAAGCAATTGCAAATGCAGTCATAGACTACTTGCATTTTAAGTGAAAAGTAAAAGTGTCTTTGTAAGAAAATTAAGTGTCTTGAAACTTTTTCAGTGAAATGGAAAATCAAAGGGTCCCCCTCTATTGAATTCAGTTCAGGGATTTTGTTTGAGCTGGAAAGATAAATCCTCCAGAGTAAAAATGGAAACAGATAAGGTGCAGTGAAGGGCCACACTTTCCCTTTCAAGTAACAAGACCAGAACACAAGATGGTATGGGTCAACATTAAGATTAATGCATTAGGCCAAACACAAATTGACATTCACTACCTGCTCCTACCCCTCAAGTGGGCACATTAACGTTACACCTTCTGAATTTTCCCATCCATGTGGGACTTGTAACTTTGAGTCCCACAACCACTGCATTATTGCCATCTGAAAACTGCAATATGGATAACTAATTCATTTTGACTTAAATACCAAGATCATCCCCCATCCTCCAATTTAGATCCGAGCTAAATAATCTTTCACAAGATTGATCATATAATTTGTGTCGGGTTGAATTATTAGAATACCCGACATCTCTTCAAGAAATCTCATGTTTGATTTTGAACCAAGTTTATGCTTTGGGAGAAAAAAAAAAAAAAAAGAGGAAGGAAATTTCTGCTCAAATTGCTGATGAAATCATGAAAGAAAACATCAATAAAACCAAAGGCACTATCATAGGGATTTGTTGAGAGAATGAAAGATTAATATGATTATTTGAGGAACACTGCATGTGAGGTGTTGGGAATAAAAAGAATGGAAAAAGGAAAGAGATTGTGGTCACATTTTGTCAACTTGAGCAATGAGAATGTGACTCTTGGTTTGAGATACATTACTAAATGCTATAACATTGGTATTTTCAACGATGAATGTTGAAATAACAATCAATACTTTATATAAAACTTAACACGATTAATGATGGATACAAACTCTTATGGTATAAATTTGTGATGAATTTGTTCAGTTGTTTTCAATCAATTTATTTATTGAATTAATCACAAAAGTATGTTAGCAGTCCCTTTACCAAGGGTTTATAAATACAAGGAAAATAAATAAATAAATAAATAATATATTAGTAGTATCATAAAAAAGAGTGGGTGTTTTGTAGCAATTAGATGGAGTGCGAAAGAAATTAGTATTTTGCTAATTAGTGTTTTGTTGTATGATACGGTTATTGTAAAATACCTTTTTACATTAAGGAAAAAAACCCTTTAATTTATATTTTAGGACATTTTTTTTTGTCATAAATATATATAAAAATTTTAAAAATTGACAATAATTTTAATATAAAAATATTTTATAAGATAAATTACACATTAAAATTATAGTTAACTTATAAATTTATTAAAATATTTTTAATAGAGTTATTTCTTACATTATTTTATTAAGGGTGCTTTAATAATTTCATAAGTGAAATTGTATTTTTAATAAATACTGATATTATAAAATATGAATCCCTTCTAATAATATTATTAAATGAATAAATTTAATTAAATAATTAATAAATTAGAGGTGAAATTTTTATTTTTTTAATATAAATTTTTGTAAAAAAATGTATTAACACATGCTTTAGAAAAACCTAAAAAATAAACAATGAAGAAAAAGGAGGGGACAAAACGAAAGCATTTTAAGCATGCAAGCAAAAAGTGTTTAGGTTCAAAGAAAAAAATGCAATAAGTACGCCACGTGATATGATATCTAGGCCCTAGAATATATCACGATAACTTTTTAACAGTGAAATTATCGCGACAAAATGTTAGTACATGCAATTTTATTTTATTTTAACAAAAATTAAAAAAAAAATGAAAAAGGAAGAAAATGAGAAGGACGGCTCGTGGCTGGATGCCATTATTATCAAAGTACGCGATGGAGATGGATGGGTCGTTATCTTGTAGCAGAGGGGGTTTTGTATTTGTATAAGAGCACACTAAAACGAAGGTGAGTCCTTTTGTATTTGATTAGGGGAGCACCAAATTTATTCCTGTCAGAATTGGCGTGCATCAACATTGTGGAGTGCAGACAGAAAGATGGAAACTTGTGGGGGCCTCATGGTTTCTCCAGCAGATTCTTGCTTTTAGAGCTGTACAAAAAGTGAAAATTTTTACTGGGTTTTTGCAAAACCCTGAAGAGGAAGTGTGGCCTTGGTCAAGTTTATATTTTTTTGGGTGAGTGAAGTGGGTTTATGGTGGGGAGTTAAGAGGAGGGGTTTAGACTTTAGAGCGGTGGCTGTGGTTGTGGGGGCGGCGGTGCTGATTCTAAGGAGATAGGAGTAGGGGAGAGAGAGAGTGTGTGTGTGTGGGAACATTTTGAGATTTGGCTTTTTGTGGCAAGTGTAGGGAGTGATGGCTGGCAAAAGATGAGTGGGGCTTCTTTTGCTTTGGTGTTTTCTGGTTCTGCAATGTATTTTGCTCATGCACTGAGAAGTAACATCCTCTTTGTGTGTGGCCACTGATAATAGATTGTTTGGTTCTTTGCACTTGGTTGTCGTAGTATAGACCATTAAGAAGCTGCTGGGGTTTTTAGGGCCTTTCTTAGTGCTGACTGCTTCAAGCAGGTATGCTTGGACTCCAATTGGACCAACCCTTTCTTATATCTTATATCTTTTTCTCTTTTCACATATTAGTTCCTGAAAGTGAGCTTCACTTATTTGTTGATGGTTTTGTTTTTCACCTGATCTAGTCTGTTCTGTCATTTGAGGTGGGTTTTTTATTTTTTATTTTTTCTCTTTCTTTATTCTGCTTAGTGACTGAATTGGCTATCATTCGGGAGTATTCTAAAGAGATACATGCTGTAATCTTGTTGATGCAATGCCATTTTTATTGTATGGTTGGGTATGTTCAATGTTCCTGCATTTTGGGTCTAAGAATGGCAACTTTAGATGTTTTTAGGGTGGTGTTTTCGAGCTAAGCATGAATTCTAGTAGCCAGTTTAGTGCTTTTTTTGAAGAAAGAAACGGGATGTTCCTGAATTGATTTCTGTGTCACATTCTAAACTTCGATTATGATGAGTTTCTACACAACTTTGAAACAATTTTATTGGTATTGATGTTAGCTTTTGTAACCTTCCTTTTAGAAACTCCAAAATTGATGCATCGAATCCATGTTTGGTGGTGTGGTTTTGTCAACTAATATCGAGAAACGCTGCTTCTTTCTTGCAGATTTCCTATCTTAACAGGGGAGAGGAAAAAAATAAGTCAAGAAGAAGAATTGTGTAGAAAGATGCAGTCTGGGTTTTGGGGTTTGAGACTTTGTGGACCGGGAAAGGTCTTGTTGATGTGTGTGTGAGAGAGATTCATTGAAAAAAGGGGGTACGAATAAAGAGAATGATAAACAAATGAGGGGAGGGCGGTGGTGTTAGTTCTGAGCAAGTGGGGGTGTTTCTGGTGTTGAGAATTATATATGTTTAAGAGTGTGTGTTGGCTATATCTCCTTAGCTGACCCCTTTTGCACGGGTTCTTTGCTCTCTGTTACCAACTGAGGAAGCAACCCATCTCTTAGGTCAGTCAGGTGCACAATTTGTTAAAACTATTCCATTAATTCTATCTCTCTTCCCCTTCTTCTCCCTTTCTTTACCCGTCCTTTGGTTTCAGAATGTGAGGATTAAAATTGATACTTTCATTCTAAGAAATTTACCATTTTTCTTTTGATCTATTCTTCCGCAGATACATTAACATAGGGGAGCTAAGTTAAACCACGTTTTAAAAATTTTGATTGCCGAATTCGATACGGCTTGGAGCTGGTGTGATACTGGTGGATTTGACAGGATTTGCAAGTTAGAAGGTTTAGAGAGAAGAGTGATCTTGGCAACATGAAGTTTATGAAACTTGGATCCAAGCCTGATGCATTTCAGACTGAGGGGGATAATATCAGGTAAATGTTGAGATCTTTCTTTCAGAGAGCCAATAAATTGATGATTTATATTCTCTTTTTTTTGGTTTTTCCTCATTTAGGCTGCAATTTTTTTTTTTAATCTTCAAATTAATTTGGCCTTATAGTTCTCTGCTTCTCCCTTTGCTTTAATTTCTCTTTTGCCCTCTTTTAATCTGGATTCCCTCTTTTAATCTGGATTCCCTCTTTTAATCTGGATTTCCTCTTCCCTTTGACTAATTTATTGAAGGATATAATATCTTTTAAGTTTTCCTTCTATAAATGTCAAGTTTGGTACTTTCATGGCACTTAGGAGTGCCAAGAGGTCTCTGCTTTATGTTAAAGATCATGGATTGAAAATGACTTGTGATTCATTGACATGACCTGATGGAGTTTGATACCCCTGCAAAATGCAAACTTATCTGGGGCATATTGACTTAGATTAATGGTTATGAGTTTGTGTGATGCAATTTTGGGTAACAGGGCGAAATGCATTTTCTGGAATTTCTGTAGTTCATGAAGTGTTCTCGCATGGCACTCCGAGAAATCCAGATGCATTGTCAAAGATATAGAATCTATTTTCGGAGAGTATAGAGAATCTCTCTTCTTTTTTCTTTTTTTTTTTTTCTTATTACTTCTGATATGTAGATTGTAGTTCCAAAAGATCTTGGACGGTGGTAGGTCACAACATTTGTGTCAAGTTGCATTCAGAGTTTAATATAACAGTTCAACTCGAATGAAATTAAAGGAAAAAACATTGCGGCATACTCTTTTTCCAAGTTCTCCATGTTAACCATTCATGAAAGAAGATTTCAAAGAATAGAAAGGCAATGAAATTTCCCAAACTTCGATTGAAAAAAAAAAAAAAAATCTTGTGTTCTAAATAATGATTACATCAAAAGAGTGTTTAGGTAAGCATCAGTTGTTCAACCTCTTTCTGGCATTTTGGACTTTGTAAATAATTTAGAAGAACAGCTAAACCAAGTTTCTCTTAAAAACCTAGGACACTGCAATACAAGCACAAGTAGTGTCTGATTGTACAAGTTCAACCGATTATTCCTTTTCTTTCTTTTTTTAAAACAAATGGTAGATATATACTCATTGCTTGAAGAATAGAAAGGGGGAGGGGGCATGGAAAACTGGGCAAAATGGTCTTTAATACTATTCAGCCAAATTAGATTGTACATCTTCAAAAAGGTGTCCTGTGGTTTTTTGCTGCACTGCTCTCTTCATATGTCCCATAAATAATCTGTTGTCTTTTGACAAATTATCACATAGAGATAGCTAATAATGACACCTTTATTAATTTTTCTGTTTACGTATTACTTTGCTAAACCATCTATAAAGGCACAACAATATAACTGTTGATTTGGAGAATTGGAGTTATCTACCTTGATTCTAGACTTAAAAATTTTGTCATTGTTGTTTACATCTAATTATCTATCTTGCTTTTTTCACGATTGAGCTTATATTCAATATTGAATACTTATGTCTTGAAAGTTTATGGCTGACTCAACTGGACAAATGTCTGTCTGTCTGTGTCAGGTATGTTGCAACTGATTTGGCAACTGACATAGTCATCAACATTGGGGATGTGAAATTCTATCTGCATAAGGTAATGCAACATCTCAATGTATCATGAGCTGTTTTCGATAGTTTAAGAACTTAGCAGATGTTGTCAGCAATCTCTTGAACTTGTTATACTTTTTAGGTTTATTACGTTTTGGGTATCAAGCAAGACTAATACATACCTTTTTTGCAGTTTCCCTTATTGTCGAAAAGTGCATGCTTGCAGAAGCTGGTGGCTACCTCAAATGATGAAAACAGTGATGAAATCCATATCCAGGATATTCCTGGTGGACCTGCTGCTTTTGAAATATGTGCAAAGTTCTGTTATGGTATGACCGTCACTCTCAATGCGTACAATGTTATCTCAGCCCATTGTGCAGCTGAATACCTTGAGATGTATGAAACTGTTGAGAAAGGAAACCTTATTTACAAGATTGAGGTCTTCCTCAATTCAAGCATCTTCAGGAGCTGGAAAGATTCAATTATTGTTCTTCAAACAACAAAATCTCTCCTTCCATGGTCTGAGGAACTAAAGGTTGTTAGCCACTGCCTTGACTCCATAGCATCTAAGGCTTCCATGGATCCTGCCAAGGTAGAGTGGTCATATACCTATAACAGAAAAAAGCTACCATCAGAGAATGGCGATAGTCCACAGTGGAATGGTGTGAGGAAAACCCATACAGTTCCAAAGGACTGGTGGGTAGAAGATCTTTGTGAACTGCATATTGATTTATACAAACGGGTAATAGCAACGATCAGAACAAAAGGCAAAGTTTCTGATGACATAATTGGAGAAGCCTTGAATGCATATGCCCTGAGAAGATTGCCAGGTTTTAGCAAGGGTATGATTCAAAGTAGTGATTTCATGAAATATAGATCACTGGTGGAGACCATTGTGTGGCTGCTACCTACCGAGAAAGGAAGTGTTTCTTGTAGCTTTTTGCTCAGGTTGTTAAGAGCAACAACTCTCTTGGGTTGTGGAGAAAAGGAAAGGAATGAGTTGATGAAGAGAACTGGTCAGCAGCTTGAGCAGGCTATGGTAGCTGATCTTTTAATTCGTGCTCCAGCTGGGGAAACAACTGTGTTTGATGTTGATATAGTGCAGAACCTGGTGGAGGAATTTGTGACAAATGACCGGAGTTCCCAGGCCAACATCTCCTTAGAAAATGAATTCCAAGAGAATAGAAGCCCCAAGTGTGCACCAGGTGCTTCCAAAGCAAGGGTAGCAAAGCTAGTTGATGGCTATCTTGCTGAAATTGCAAGGGATCCGAATTTGCCTATGTCAAAATTTGTCAATCTTGCAGAAATGGTATCAAGCTTCTCAAGACCTTCACATGATGGAGTCTACCGAGCAATAGACATGTATCTGAAGGTAACCCCTCTTTAAACCTTTCTATTTGATAATATGTTAAGGATTCATAGTTTGCCGAAATAGACTGCTATGTTATACTAGTAAACTTAAAGTAATTGCTAAAACATTAGAACTTTTCCTAATACAGGAACACCCTGGAATCAGCAAGAGTGAGAAGAAGAGAATATGTAGGTTGATGGACTGCAGGAAGTTGTCAGCAGAGGCTTGCATGCATGTTGTGCAAAATGAGAGGCTGCCATTGCGGGTAGTTGTGCAGGTTCTGTTCTTTGAGCAAGTTAAGGCCTCAGCAAATGCTGGCAATAGCACACCCGACCTACCACGGTCCATTAGAGCCCTTCTTCCTGGAGGGTCTCATGGCAGTTCAAGGTCCACCACTACCAACACAGAAGATGACTGGGATTCTGCACCAACAGCTGAGGATATTAAGGCCTTGAAAGGAGAGCTTGCTACTCTGAGGCTAGGGAGCAACCCCAGTGATAGAAACGGACATGATATTGCTAAAAATGATGCTGAAAAAATCGCTGCTGGCGGAATGAAAGGTTTGGTCATGTCAAAGATACTCTCAAAACTCTGGTCAGGTAAAGAAAAAAACAGTGATATTAGTAGCTCTGATACCTCAGATAGCCCAGGATCAGCCAATGCAGAGGAAACAAAGTCTACTCCTTCCAGAAGCAGGAGGCACTCGGTATCTTAGATAAAAATGTGGCCAGGCATGCCCTTTTTGGCTTTGTAAAATTGTTTCACTCTATTGACATTAGGAGACTTATATAACTACTGACTTTTTCTAGCTGATTTAGCCTTTAATTTTTCAAGCCAACTGGCCATGAATCTTCAAGAGCTTGGATACTATCTGAGAGACGTTCACCGTGAGGTTCTGTTCCCCAACAGATTGGAGGCTATAAAATTGTTCATTGTTCTTCTTCTTATAGAAATAAGCTCCTAGTCACCTGAAAATGCCTTTTATCCTATGCATCTCCTGTTCCTCCCAATGCCAGAAATTCAACTATGGGGTTCAACATTTTGAGAATCATTAACTCCAAGCCCAAGCCTAAGCCTGATATAATGGACCATCTCATATGTCCATTTTTGAAAGTTTAGGCCCTGTCCCTCTAAGTTCAAGACATATAACAATCTTAATGACCCAAGTTTCCTACACCATTGGGCCATCTCATAGGCCGTTAATCATCTTTTGGCATAGTGTTAATGAGAAAGTCTTTGGATAAGAGATTTTTACTTTTATCTCCAACTAATAAAAGGGTTAAGTAGATGTGCTAATGTAAAACCTCTGACCTAACATAATAAACCTCTAATATAGTACGGAATCTTTCTAATGTGGCATGAGAGATCTTTGATGTGTTAATTTTTTTATTAATTAGGAATACTACTAACTTAATGTAGTATTGTGGGAATTTTCTATTAGTTGAGAATACTATTGAGTTGATGTAATATTTGTTACAGTGAAAAAATTTCCCAATGTGTATCTATTATTGATGTGGCATCCCACCACTGGAAATATGATACAAATCTCCTATTCTTATCATTTCATGAAAAAAAATCAAAAGTGAACAAATGTTAGATGGATTGTCTTGTTCCTTCATTTCTTGCTTACGGTATAATCTGTAAACAAGAAAACAAAACCCTGACAAATCTTATAAAGGTCCTTTTTGACCAGCATCTTTCTTCAAATTTGGACCAAACCTCATCCCTCTATTTTCTTATTATTATACCATATTGACCTATTGATGCAAAGAGATTGTCATGCATTTCAATGCAAAACCTCCCAATCATGATATCTTATTAACAAATCAAACCATGCTCTAACACAAAGAAAGAACCCCAAAAAAGGTTCGAATCATTGAGACTAATCTAATTAAAGACTTTTGAGCCGATGTTGATTGTTCTTAAAATGTAATCTTCCATTCTTAAATTATTACATCAAACACAAGTAGGCCTACCTCAAATGATGCTCTTGCATGCTAAATACAAAAACACTTTCTTGAGAAAGCCAAATAGACTGTATTGCCCAGTAACAGAACTAGAAAAATATTTTAGGGGAGATAAAATGAAACATTGATAAAGAAATCGGTTACAATTGTATAAAATAAATAAAAATTACTGAACCATATTAAATATTTTTTAAAAGTTTAGGGGGGCCTTAGACCCCCAAGAGCCCCCTAGCTCCACTGGTGATACTGCCTCTCTTCGCCTACTATCACCACTCACACTCATCCCATTTTTCACCACACATTTACGTTGCTCTGTTCTCAAGAATCTACTTGTTTAGCGGTTTTTGAAGTAAACTAGTATCTCTTATGCTATTATCTCACAAAAACTATATATTGTAAGATGATTAAATATGCAATTTTCAGTAAAAAAACTACAAACCAAACAGAACGGCGTTTCATCCATTGACTCAGAAACAAAGACAAAAGAGATGAGTCAAGATAAGGTAACAAAATGCCAACCAATTTGACCATTTTGTTATTAATCTTCCCTATTTCCGTCACCCCAGCCGGCATCTTACCTAAACCACCCACAAATATTTTCGAGTACCAAATGACATGAACCAAAGCGAATCACACTTCAACCTTTTTAATTGAGGACCCTTGATTTCGGGGAATAACATCTTTGTCTTAGTTGTAAAACAATGAGAACATGAATAATGAGGAATTGGAGAGTGAGCTTTCACACTTGGAAAATGTAAATTTATCAAAACTAGGTAACGGATTAGCATGGATAAGTGCAAACAATTAAACAAATCTAAGTCAAAACTTGCCTAATCTAAGACACAATCCATTATCATATCAAGGCATAAACTTTATTGGTTACTCAATGCTGAAAAAATAACAAAGAAAGGATCATCTAGTGCTCTGCCTCAAACTTTGTTGAGAACTTTGAACTTGAAAGCTCTTGATTCAATGCATCATGCTATCGTTCATAACAAAAATACTAGTACTATACGCTATTATCACACACATTGATTACAGAAATAGAGCTTGAGTAAAATTTTAGAGGCCAAAAAAATTTCAAGGGTGTAAGTTTTAAAAAAGAAAATTTTGAAGAACCAAATTATAAACCAAAAAAAAAAAAAATCCCAAGAATAAGCAGAGGATTTGAAATTTTTGCGGGGCCATGACTCCCTCAGCCAATGCTATCCTTCGTCTGTGATTATGAGAGTGTGTAGCAAATTTTAAAAAGTATTTAATTTAAAAATATTATTTATCTCTTATAAATTTAAAATTTTATTAAAAAAAAATTCTCGAATTATTTTTAAAGTTAACTTTTTCAAACATATTTAAAACCCATTTAAAAGGTTAATTTTAAGTGTTTTCCTCTAATCAAATTGTAAATTTATGAGAGTGAATGGTGCTTTTATAGCCTCTTTGGTTGGTTACTTCTAAGGAAGTCGACCAAAATTGGACACGACTTGCCTTTAGAAATTTAACTTTCTAACACATAAATCAAGGCACAATGTAATTGATTATGAAAAAAAAAAGAGTAATCTATACCGCGATCCTTTTTTAAGAAAGTGAACATTATTTATTATAAAGAAGAAATAGTCAATTGCGTTAGTATAGTCACTTATTTCTTTAAGGTAACCAATTATATTCCTAGTATAATGCATTATCTTTTATTTCATCACTAAATTTTATTGTATCTCGATTTATGTATCAAAAAATTACATTTTTTAAGCCAAGTCATATTCAATTTTAGCCCGTTTCTCTTAATTTTCTTTTAGAAAAGTAATCAACCAAATAGGCTATTAAAATAAATACTTTATAAGATTTTGTTGAATGGGTGGTGATATAAGAATAATATTTTATATAAAATTTTTATACAATTTTTATATATCATTAAATGAGTAAATACACTTAATTTCACAACTCTTAAATAAATAAATAAACTTAATTATTTAAATAATATAAAAAAATTTATTTTCAAATCATTTTTCTTGTTAAATAACCCTTTGTACAACTACTTCGGCAACGAAATTTGCCACATTTAAGCGAATTGTATCATACATACTATTTTTAATTTTTAAATTATGTAGATGTTGCAATTTCTCCTCATGAAAATTACGAGTCTACCATTAATATGGCACATGGTAAGGATATCATGAGTCATTTTCTCTTTAAAGTAGTATTTCCAGTAACAGTTGGAAAGAAATCAATAAAACAGTTGACGCGATCCAACACCAGATAAGGAAGTCTCTTTCTTCTTGGGTGTTTTTGAGTTGAAGAATCTTCTTTTATATTCCAGCTAGAACCCACTTAAAGGGTCACACTTATCACCAAAACCAAATCTAAGTAAAGAAGGGTTTTTTAAATTTGTGTTTTTAAAGCACAGATTAAAAATGATTTTTTTTATTATAAATATATAAAAAAATATAAAAATTAATATTAATTTTAATATTAAAATTAAATTCATGAATTTAGTTAAATAATTAATAAATTAAAAATTAATTTTTATTTTTTTAATATAAAATTTTAACCAAAAAAATATATTTATACCTTTAAAAACACAAATTAAATAAATCTTTAAAAGAAAAATGCTAGCCGCCCTCATTCCTTAATTAGTGTGAATGTCAATTTTATTAATTATTCTTTTTAAATAAATGAAAAGATCGATGAGAAGAAAAATGTTTATGCATTTGGACCCACACCGAGTATACGCTCCTTATCCTACTAATTACAATCTAGTTTTACTTCAATTAATGTTCACACCTTTTCTCCTCATGATTCATATGATCTGTTTCTGTCTTAGTGTTGAATTCCCGTGAGTGAATCTTTATTTACAACTTGAATTGTTATACCTCCAGATTACCCATTTCTCCAGTTGTTTAAAACTAGGAAAGTTTCAATTCAATTAAATTTAAAACTAAATCTTATTTGATAAGAACTTAAAATTTTAAATGAAAGATATAAACATATTAGTCCAATAATTGAACGTCTTAATCAATTATAAGATGAATTTTTATAATCATAGAACGTACCAAGAGCGGCATGGTCCAAGGATCACAAACTGAAAGAAACAAGGCAAGCTGGGAAAGGAAAGCAAAGGCTGGCAAAAGGCAACTAGAAAGCAAAATACCTCAAAAAATATCACTTCTCTAATTCTCTGTAGGATAGCAACAAGATGCCAAATTCCCCCCCGTCAATTTCATCATCTTCTAAATGGATATAGAGCAAAGAAAATCCCTCAACACTAAAAAAGGTTACCAATTATGATCCCATCTACCTTGTCAAATTGACTACCCTACCCTCCTTAGGACACCATTTGTCCTCCACTACTTCCCTTAATTAGGAAAGATACTAAAGAGATAAGGGTACTTTATATCCCAATTGCATATAATCTTTGTTAAAATGATATGGCTAAAAAGCTCCCCCGAAAAAGGCATTTCATCTTCTCCATTGGAGCTGGAGGATATTCTCAAGGCACTGTTTGGCTGGAATAGGATCTCAAAAGACAAATCCATTTACAAAAAGAGAAGGGGATATACATATTCAAAACCCAATTGCCATATTTTCTCTTCCTAATATCCCTCAAAAATTAAAAAAGAAAAGAAAAGAACATTGTGCAGTCACTATATTAAATTGCACAATTTAGCCCATTAAATGAGAGCAAATTCTTGATGTCGAGATATACTCTCATTCAATGATTACTATTTTGTAACATCTCATCCCAAAAAAAAGTTGAAATTTTTTTTAAAAAAAGTAGTGCCCTTCATCTGCCTTTGCTCTCTATGGTGTTGTGATAATATTAGGATTCTAAACTTCCCTCGGGTCGACGAAAATCGACACGCCAGGTGGTGACTTGGTCCAGTCACCGACAGAGCCGTCACTGTATTCTTCCCCGAGCCGTTTTATGCACCATAAATCCTCCGCGCACGATAGGCTATTCCAGTAGGGAATCCCGCGCTTCAACGGCTCGCGACTTGCCACTTCAGTCACCACCACGCCGCAGCGGCTCTGTTTTGCCAGGTTGTGCGCGTGCGCGCACAGCGCTTTCACTAAATTTGCCGCGCGTGGTCCTTCGCCTCCGAGACCGTACAGGAAATGCAAGCCGAACGGCCTGAACAGCTCCGGGAACGACGGTAACCTCAAAAACGGCAGCATCTTGTCAACAATCCTCGTCGTTTTCGCTAACGTCCGCTTGAATCTGGATGCTCCCTTGAGTTCTAGCTTGAACACTTCTTTGCAGTTCCAGACGCTGAGAACCGCCCATGATTCCGGCGGGTTTGACAGGAACTTGCCAGACCCAGGCCAGGAGTCTTGCGTGTAAGTCCCACGTGGTACGGCCAGGAACGTACCCAGAGAAAGCCTATTGCTGAGAACGGAATCAATGTCTCGAGGGAAAAATTCAGTAGTGGAGAAGCGGCAGCGGTAGAGTGATTCAGCATCGTTGGGCGTGAGCTTAAGGATGGTTACCCTGTCTGAGATGGTTAGCCGGTGGGCGAAAACCGGGTTGACCAAGATAGAAGGCGTACGGAACCTGGAGTAGCCGCATTTTTCGGTGAATAGCTTAACAGAAGCGTAATTGTCGTTTTCCGTTGCCAAGTAGGAATATTCAGCGCCATTTTCTCTAAACCACTGCTCCATTCTCTGCACCAGCTTTAACCCAATTCCCATCCTCCTGAAAACAAAAGAATAGTTCACTCATTAAAGACAAATAATTAAAGAGAGAGTAAACCCAAGAAAATAAAACGAAAATTTTTTTTATTAGGGATTGGAAGGGCCATTTTAGGCTATTGATTGAGACATTTTCAAAGACATACATACCGGTGTGAAGGGGAGACTCGGAGGCCTAAGATATAGGCGATTTTAGTGTAAACAGGGAGGGGTTTGGTGGGATCGGGGTTGGATTTGCCATTTCTAGAGTGCTTCTTGCCGCACGTAACGACCTTAGTGCAACCCCTGATCATGCCCACCATTTCTTTGGTGGAGCTTATCTCGGCCACCTGTTGCGTAAAATTCAATATTTTAACAGAAACGCAAACCCACACGAAATATTGTACAATAATTAACCACGACACAGTGATTTAATTTGGGGGGCGGGGAGAGGGGAGGAGGGAGAGTGAATGGGACAAAATGGATGAAAGAAAATGTATGTACCAGCATGCGGAAAGCAGGGGAGTGGCGGACCCGGCAGATGGGGTCACCCAGGAGGTCGGTGAAGAGAGAGAGCTTGCCGCTCGAACCAACCTCACACCTTCTCTCCACATCTTCCACGCTCGACAAATCCTTGCTCGGATCAAACTCCCTCACCATTATTTCACACTCTTCTCCCATATCCTTAATTTCTCTATCTGTTTCTACTACTATTCGATTATTCCTAATCAAAGAAACTGAAAATCAATCGAAATGAACAAAATCTCAAGTGGGTTTCCGGTATAGACTGGGGATCATCATCATCATCATCATCAAGAAAAAGAAGAAACAGAAGCAGAGCTTGAAGTTTGAAATCTTAAAACTGTAAATAAGAAAGGAAGGTGAGGATGGTATTATAAGCTTTCTCCTCCTTCTCCCTTCAGGGGGCCTGTGGTCAAGACTCTGGCAATTCTAAAGCCATGGTGGCTATTTATACCTGATTTTGGGTTTTTATTTTACTATTTTTATTTCTCCATCTCTAGAATCCCCCAATCTTTCCTTTTCTCTCTTGACTTTTTTATTTAATTCAGCGGCTCTTAAAAAGTCTCTAAGTTTTCTCTCTTCTTAATTCTGCCCTTCTGTGCGGAATTACTACTGTGTGTATCTGTACGTATGCCACCTGTATATAGTTGTGCTGTAATGTTATCAGAAATTATTTCATAATTTTAAAATTAATCATTTTTATTTAATAATTTATATGGTATAATTTAAAATTTGTAATATTTATTTAAAAATATTTAAATAAATATAATATACCCAAATGAGCAATGCTAGGGGCACTCGCTTTTTGCACTCTCCGGCCAACACTTTCCCTTTCATTGGGCCACGTAAGCTTCTTTAAAGCTTTCAGCGTAACTTCTCACGGACCAAGATAACGTGGCCCAATAAAAGAGAAAGTGTTGAACGGAGAGTGCGAAAAACGATTGCCAAAAGCATTGCTCATACCCAAAATTTATGGGAAATAAGTATTGTAAAAATTTATATTATTAGTATTTACTCAAAATAATCATGACATAAGGGGAAGAGGAAATGGCGGCTGTGGCTGCGCAGTCTTGCGAGCGGTATAGTTGCTTGCATTTAATTCTAATTGGCGTTGCCATCATTTACCCCATTTGTTAATCATTACTCTTTTCCTTTCCACTCGCATTCCCTCATCCACCAATTAATTTTCATCCCATTATC